GTCAATCTTGTCAAACTCACTTGTATGACCCAATGAAGTTTCTACCTGCAGAATTACTGTCTTTATTTGCTTTTTATTTCTGGAGCTACACTGATGGCACTGGCAATCTGCACGGTTGCATGTCCTGATTTTGTAGCCAAAAGGTCCAGTTAATTGCAAATCAATGCTGGGTTCAAATCTCCCTTGATTCTTCCAGGTCTTTGGGGCCTGCATGTGTATTATGCAACACTCACCATTGTAGTGAGTGACTCTTCAAAGAACTCATTGAGGTTCATTTTAAAAAAACCTTTAAGAAGATGTCATGCATATTTGGACTTCTAATCTTCATCTCTGGTAAGATCTATGGAGTCACATGAGTCCAAAGGGCTTCTGGAGACTAAATATAAAGGGTACAAGTAGAACTTTATTTCATAGCATATGTGGCTTTGGTTTGAAGATAGTTAAAGAACCATTGAAGCAATTGGCGGTGCTGCAATTTGGAGTAGGAGGGTTCTCGAACATCAATCAGTGAGTTAGCCCTAATGGTGCCATTGCCCACTGTACATATATGCATAAGAGGAATAATTAGTACTTGTCATCCATTGGAGACTGTCACCATATTTACCGAAAGGAATACTAGATGGAAAAATAAACTAATCTATCTCTTTTAACATATTCTTATCTCATCTAAGATATCCAACCCATTATAAAGCTGATTTCTTTGTGGAAGAATTTAGTCTTCCTTTCAGGTAAATTTCAGGAACCTGATGGACCTGTTGGTTTCAGAGGGAACTGTGCAGACTCTCCCTACTTGTAGATCCCAGATACCTCCCTGGTTTTCTGAGGAACTCCAGGAGACACAATGGCAAAAGAGACTCCTAGAGCATCATTGGAGGATGGCAAACAGTGAATCCAATTGAGCATGGGTGAAAACCTTTCTTAAGGATTATTTTGTGATGATAAAAGCAGCAGCAAAATGTAGCAATTTTTCTGCTCTTATTGTGTCCAAAGATAGCTGTCCAACTACATTGTTTAGGGTAACCTGGTCTTTTCTGTGGAAGGAGGCAGTGGAAACAGCAGCACTGTGAAAACTACACTATGCACCTGTCAGATAAATCACTCTGATTCCTTCTGAGTTAAATTCTGGCTCTGCAAGTTCCTTTGGAATTGACTAGGGCACAGTCCAGTGTGGTTACCTGGGAAGAATTTGAACTTAATGGTCCTGAAAATGGGGATAGTCCTCAGCGCTGTGAGTACATGAAAATGCTGGGTGACATCATCTCTCAGTACAGGGTCCAGCACTATCAATATGCTGCTGCTGATACCCAATTATACATTTCCACCCTAGACTGACCAAGGGTTGCCATCAGTGTTCTACCCCAGTGTCTGGCAGCTGTGGGAATCTGGATGGGGAAGAAAAGGCTTTGATTCAACCTAAGCAAGAGTCTCTGTGTGTTTTGTGTTCCCTCAGCTCTTGGGATTCTCCCCCTTTGGTTCTAGGCAGGATTATACTCCCTGGCAGAACTGGTACACAGTTTGAGAGTCTTCTTGGACTCTTGACTCCTGCTGGAAAAGCAGGCAGCAGCCATAGCCATTGCATAAATCCATCTCGTCTGCCAGTTGTGTCATTCCTGGATTCAGAGGCCTATTCGTTGGCTCCCTATAAGCTTCCTAATGTAATTTATCTATCACCTATAGATTCCTTCATGGCTGGGTTATCTGCAGGACTGCCTATCTGTCAGAGTGGGTATGCCTCAAGTCCCTTCTACAAAACAGCATCACCTGGTGGAAGCTAGGAGTCATGCCTCCTTTGTTGTGATACCTGTCCTATGGAACAACATTAACCTTTGATTCAGGTGGCCCTTCTGTAAGGCACTGAAAACCTGGCTTTTCCCCCAGGCCTTGGGCCAGAGCATGGGAGGAACCAATGCAGAATTGAAAGGACTTGAATGGAATGCACTGAGGTTGACCCAATTTATTCTGTTTTGGATATTTGCTTTGCTTTGCTTTGCTTTGTTATGGGGTTCCTTTGTTTTTTATGCTTCTAATCATTTGTAAACTTCCTAGAGTTACTTTTGTAAGTTGGGGGGCCATATAAAACAGAGAGAGAGGAATAACAAGATAGTAGTTAGTAATAATATGAGAGGGCCAGTTTGGTGTAGTGGTTAAGGCACCAGACTAGAAACCGGGAGACTGTGAGTTCTAGTTCTCCTTAGGCATGAAGCCAACTAGGTGATCTTGGGCCAGTCATTCCTCTCAGCCATAGGAAGAAGAAGGCAAGGGCATACCACTTCTGAAACCTTGCCAAGAAAGCTGCAGGGACTAGTCCAGGCAGTCACCAGGAGCCAACGCTGACTTGAAGACACCCCCCCCCCCGAAAAGTAATAGTAATAGCAATTTTCATTAGTGATCCAGTTGGAAAATACATATCCACAATCTAATAGGTAGACAAGATCAATGGGTTACGGCAGTTTTGTAGATTTGCTCTAGAAACAGAGAGTCTAATATGAAGTGTTATGTTCATGATACTAATTTTCATATTTTTCCTGCCCTTTTCTGCTGAAAGTTTTGAATGCTCACAGATAAACATAATTCATTTAGCCTTTTCCAGGTTTCCATCCATTACTATACATTCACCACACGTGGATGTTTTCACTCCCTTGTTTCATCATGTATATTTGGCTAATGTTTCTGTACAGAAACACACCTAAAAGCATTTTTAAAATTCTTCCTGCAAGTTGTGCAAGTTCTGAAATCAAAGGTATCTTGCTTCCAGTACCTTATTTATCTTTGTTTTTGCTTCACTTAACTGAGTAAACAGATATCATTTGCAAGCCAGAATTTGCTTTGCTATATTGTACTGATTAATGAGTTATCATGGTAAATCTTCTGAAGCATTGCTGTAGGTTGAAGTCATTTTCCTACAAAACAGTGATAAGATTTTGGATGCCATTAAGGCCAACAAGCTGATATTAAGGGCAACAGTGGCAGAGAGATTGGTTGACAGTTCTCTGGAACAATTCTTCTTTATTTTTCTTGCACAGCACAACTTCCTGATGGGTTGTGCTCCCTTATAATTGGTGCCATCTAGATATTCTTACTTGAGCCTCATCTCCTTCAAATCTATCCCTACCTTGAATAAATGAATTCTAACACATCAACAATCTAGGTCCTGGCAGTTGTAAAATTCCAAAATGGAATGCCCCATTTCACTTTTTCCCCCCATAACAAAACTTCAAATACGATCAGAACTCCTGCTGTAATCTTACCTCCTGGTACTGAGAACCTCCTTTAAATCCAGAGGGCCAAGGTGGACTCTTAAAAGAGGGAACGGTCACGTTCCAACTCTCAATAGAACAACCTTCTCTAATCCAGGTCCTTGAGATGTGTAGGCCTACAACACCCATTATTTCCAGTATGGCATAATAAAAATAATAGCTCATCTTATAATGTGGGCATCAGGATGCAGAACGTTGGTTTATAGCATCTGAGAGAAGGGCCAAAGCCCAAAGATTGCCATATGCTTCCTTGATGAAAGAGGCTAAATATAAGGAAGTAAATATGACTATTAATCTATGCATTATTAATTTTGGAAACTGAGTTACTAGACATTTGTCGAGAAAAAACACATAATTTCAATGGCTATCAATATTATTTTTTCAGAGTAAAGTACAAAGGCATATACCTTTTTTCTAACATGAACACTCACTCAAATGACCATTTAGTGCAACATGGAACTAATGGTAATATCTAAGAATGCAAAACTTTCTTGGGTCTCAGACATTTTTAAAAGAGTTGGTGGGGGAGAAAGAAGAGGTGGTTAAAGATGGCTTTAATAAATAGATTATTTACTGTGAAAGGTTGTTCAGTTATTCTTTTTTACTCCTAGAGTCTTCAACGCCTTAGCAAGTGCTTTGTATTGTCTTTGCTTTAGCTTGGAAACTAGGCATGATCAGATGTGGTTAGTTCATGAATGGGAGAGCACCAGGAAGTTCCACAACTGTAGCTAAACTGGGAAGTCAAAAACATCCTGGAATAATGCAACTGTAAACTATTTCTGTATTGATGCTAATAAAACTGCATAGTTGTGTCCATGTAAACACTAGAAATAGGGGTGTATGAAATTTATTTAGTTTTAGAAATTTCCTTCCTTCCTTCCTTCCTTCCTTCCTTCCTTCCTTCCTTCCTTCCTT